GCAGGCACCCCATACTCAAATTCGGCAAGTGGCACTCTGCAGTGTAGTCGTCTCTTCTCATGTAAAAATGTTCTTTTATTGAGTTTATAAGACTTACTGAAGCTGTTTAAAATGATGTTTACCTTGTCTGAGGGCTGTTTTGGACTTATCATGGTATCCACAGCCTGTACTACTCTCAGAATAGTAACCAGACCACAGCTTGGCATCCAGGCTATGTGTGAAAAATGGATAATTACACAATGAGCAGTTACACAATGAGCAACACATCACTACATCAGGAATAAGACTGAACTAAGACACACTGTCTCTGCCTTTAGTTACACTTCGCCCAGCTACAAAACATGAATCCACAGCAAAACAATATTGCTCTTCGTAAAGTGAGCAACAAACTGAGTGGAAAAAGGCTAACTGTTTCAATTTCTATATGCAAAATAGTGCTTAAAAAGAGATGAGAAAAGAGAACGAAGGATCAACAGCCAACGCATTCCAACAATGAAACTGGATCCGCGTAATCAGTTAATGCGTTTGGCCTCCAGTCAATGACAACTCACATCGACCTCTGTGTACAGTGCACCAGCTTTACAGAGGACCATGTTTGTGTGCGTCCTCTGTAATGTGTGTGTTGTATACCAGCATTACAGTAAAACAAACTTAACCAGGCTCCACTCCCGTAATTAGCTTCACTACGCATAATGCTGCTGACAGGCCTTAAACACAGCCAGCAGGAGCAGCTCCAGCTGATTCACAGCCTCCCTGCCTACACAGACATTACTGTTATGATGGGAACTGAATTACAGCATTCTCAGCGTGAACCAGTGCACCACTAACACACATTTCAGACAAAGAAAGAGTGAGAGAGGAAGAAACAAAGGAGAACAACAGTAAAGCCAGAGAAAAGGTCTACACAGTAAGAGAGAGAAAGCTATTCTGTATGCTCAGCAAGAAAAATGCTAAATATTCAGATTATTTTGTCAAACAGAACAAAAACGTATTTTTTGAGAAATGTTTTTGGCAGAATTTTACTGTGCTGAAAACAAAACCAAACAAAAAAGGGCCATAAATGGTCGATGCCATAGAACAGGGGTCGGCAAACCCAAGTGTTTTAAGAAGAGTCTTTCTGTCAAATCTCAACAAAAACCTAACCAGATTTCATGTCCATTTTATTGAAGTTACGTTTCACCATCTTGGCTGTAAACATGTCTCAGTATGTGGTGACGTGCTAGTATAGGCTAAAAAAAAAATAATATAAACGAAAAACAGACTAACTTTGCTCTGCTTTAAGCTTCAGCTCAGCTATAGCCGCCTTTCTGACATCTCCGGCAGGAAACGTTCCCGCAAAAATAGAACAGCTTCTTGCAAAATGCCTCTTAATATTTGACTTTTTTACAAGCTTAAGTCAGCTTGTCATTTGCCATCTCGTACAAATTTTCCCGTTCCACCTTAAATGGTGCCTGAAGTGCCAGAATGTTGCTAACTATGTAGCTAGCTAACTGCTGCACCATTTAAGGTGGAACGTGAAAATTCAAATAATAAGATGGTGAGCGAAGCGGACTTCAGCTTGACTTTTTAGTGTTTGACAGTTTCTTGTTGCAGATTAAACGTATCAGGAAACCAGCTGGAGTGATTATAAATGCAAAAAAAGTCCATTCATGCCAAAATTATGGTTAGCTACTAGCTAGGCGAGACTATTCTGTGTTGCTATGGTGATCAGCAGTCTGTGCACCAACCTCCAGGGTTAAAGGGTGAATTAGCAGTTCTACATGAACTCCAGTGTTTAAGACCATTTATTGTTAAACTGTGTTGAAGATCAGCAGAGCTTTATTTTACTGTAAAGGAGGATTATTTTATTTTTACCTACAAATCTAATTCAGCTGTGGAGCCACAACAGGGCAGTAAAAGAGCCCCATGTTGCTGACTGCTGCCACAGAACAATGCTCTGTGTGTTTGGTTCCCTACAGAACATTAAAGACAACAGTTATTGGTCAGTGGTAACTGCTGCAAAAATTGAACAAAGATGAACGTAAATAATTAGGGATGATATTACATTCATAGCACCAAAAAGCGTTCTTCTATTGTTACAAGCCTGTCATGGTAACCTTTTTGATGCTAAATAGAACTCTTTTCAAAAAGGTTCTATATAGACCCATCACATTCTCCATCCATCTGAAGAACACTTTGCAATCATGCAAAGGGTTCTTTGAGTGTTCATGGTTCTATACAGAACCATTTTCTTTACTAAAGAACCATCTTATTTTAAGTGTGTACTCCAGAAGAACAGACAATTTTGCGCTACTAAAAAGTGTTTATTCTATTCCTTTTACTGCATTTTTAATGCTACTGAAAATAAATGTTATATATTCTATGTAAGCCTAATCCAAGTATGTATAAGTCTCAATTTCTGCATTTTACAACCGATCAGGCATAACATTATGACCACCAGTGGTCAGGCCTCCCATGGAGTGGTCTGATCCACTCGTACCAGCACAACACACACTAACACACCACCACCACCACCACGTCAGTGTTATTGCAGTGCTGAGGATGATCCACCACCAAATAGTACCTGCTCTGTGAGGGTCCATGGGAGGCCTGACCACTGAAGAACAGGGTAAAAGGGGGCTAACAAAGTATCAGAGAAACAGATGGACTACAGTCTGTAACTGTAGAACTACAAAGTGCACCTATATAGTAAGTGGAGCTGATAAAATGGACAATGAGTGTAGAAACAAGGAGGTGGTCATAATGTTATGCCTGATATATATATATATATATATATCGGAATCAACCTCAGGCCAGAATTCCCATCGGTGCATCCCTTTATTTGATGTCTCATTTCCACCATCTGGGCCCAGTTTTCCAAAAGCATCTTAGTGTTAAGATCATCTTAAGTTGTAGAGAGAGTGCTCACTGTGATGCATGCTCTCTCATTTCATTCTCATCTCTTTTTGCGCTAAGATGCTTTTGGGAAATAACTGCATTATGCAAGATATCAATTATACATGTGTTAACCGTACAAACAGATAAAATCGGTACAAATCAGATAATTTATTTTACAATAAACTGTTGAATGAGGGTCAACAATGAACAACAGCTTAGGTAAACACTCTGAAAGCCGACTTGGCACTTTAGCTGATCAAAACCTAGTAAGATCTAAGGGGGGTAGAGGGTGTTAAACCACATTAGAGCTGCTTAAGCTGATTAATAACACTAACACAGAGAACTCAATCATTTTACCCACTTCTCAGTATTCTTTTTGTCTTTTTCATCCTCTCTAGTGCACTGTATGTGGCTGCTGTCCTCCGCCCTGTTTCTTCCCTTCTCTTCTATCCTCCATCTCCAGCTCTGCATCATTCTCCCACTCTCTGTGTTCCAGACCTCAGTTACTGTCTGCTCTTAATAGCATTACCTCAGGGGCTTATGGGGGGTCACCATGACAACCCAGAGGGAGCAGGAGGTAATGGTCACTTAAATTAAACAAAGAAACATGTCACCATGTTTTGAATGAGACACTCGCCAGTCAGAAAGGCGGATTAAAGATAGAATTCTGCAGGTCTTTCAAAGGAATGTGTCTGGAGAAAGTCCTTGAGCAGTTCCTCAGCAGAAGAATGTAGGACGCGTTAGGGCTGCACAATAAATGCTTTATTCGTTATTGCAGCAACGATAGGACAGGTGGCTCAAATATGCAAAAGAGCCCTTTAACAAATCCAACAACATATTTTATGATGTGCTGCGAGAATCCTGATCGATCTCAGACTTTCCAGATGAGTTTCTGTGGGTGTTCTGATGAATGAAGGCATTTAAATGATCCAACAAACAAATATTTTGGTCAAAATAAAGGATGCCTGTCTCACAGAGTCCGTTTAAATTAGACGGGTCTCCTGACCAAGTTTAAGCTTCACAAAACCGAACACATGCAGCTGCGTTTAACTCATTTCTCAACAGTGGTTAACAACTTTCTCTGTTAAACCAAGTTAAGATACTCAACCTGTGATTAATCCTTCTGCACATGTTGTTACGACAAACAGCCAATCGCAAGAAGACCATGAGGACGAGTCCGGCAACTTACTTTTCAAAGAAAAGATAAAGAAGTCAGACTATGTAAATATGCTGTAAGAATGCTGAAAAATACTGTCACTACTGTTGTGCCTACTGGACTAATACCTGCTGTATGCTTTACATATCTAACATCGCTACTAACACTGTGTTTACTAAATACTGTGTATATCCTACCTCAGTAACTGCTGTGCCCACGTATGTTATCTGACTGCGTTCACTCACATATCACAGCATGTTAAATAACCTTTGCACCTTATTCTCACTACTGCATGCTCAGAATGAGTGCTGTGTCAGCGCTGCACTGTCGTGTCTAATGTCTGTTTTATTTATCGTATTTATTGTATTGTTTCTAGGTTACATTTTTTTGCATGTTTGCACTTTGTACTGTCTATTTTGTTCCATGTTGTTCCTGGAGGAATGTAACTTCACTCCACTGTGAACTTGTACATAGACGGAATGACAATAAAAGCCTCTTGACTTGACTTGATATCTGTGAAGTATGAAATGGTACCTTCTCTGAAAAGCAGCATTTTTGCACATGATTGATGCCACAAGTGTCACAAAGAAAAAGAAGTGACCAGAAAGAGACTGCAGCGGTCCACCTCTGTCAGTGGGCTGTCCCTGATTGGTCAAAATCTCATCCTGATGGCTCCAAGAGCAGGTTAGGCATGCAGCATTAGTTGCCACGGTGAGAAATAATTAGAATAAAAACTGATTCACCATCACAAAACAGAAGATAAAGGGTTATACTGAACTAAGCTGAAGTGAGCTGGCCAAACAACACGTGAGTCTTCTTGAGACAGAGCCCTGATGTCACATCAAGCATTTACTAATGTATTTTTAATGTACTGTTAGATACATGTAGCAACATAATCATCATATGGTATTTTGGTTTGTGCAAAGTTGTAAATGTTTGTTTAGCTGTGTTCATGTCCTTTTCTGACCTTTATTTGTTGTCTGCGCAGCATGGCGAGCTCCCTCATGTCTCTGAAAGGCTGCAGTAGGTAGTGGTACAGCTCGGTGGTGGCCTCCACCAGGTCCCCATATGCCTCGTCCTGCTCTGAATACAGCTGCAGCAACTCCACCATGCTCTCCATCCCACGCTGCTTCTCCAGCAGCTACAAAGAGAAAGAGCGAGAGGGAAAACATCAGTACAGTGAATAGCTTACAGTTTATGTCAGCTGCTATCAGGCCATCGATGAGCATCTGCAGCTGACCGTCACCCACAGCTTTGGAGGTGTATTCGTCCCTTGGAAACATGGCCCTTGTCAGCATCCTGTAAGGGTGGCCAGTTTTCTTATACAGTATTTCATTGCTGAATTGACATGATGAATTGATTTTATTTTTTTTATGTGCCACTTGTGCATTTTGTTCCAACTTTTCAGACAAAAAAAATCATGAAAATGTCTTCAAGTGCAATATTATTTTTTGGGGATGCATCAATATGGGAACTGTGAGCCAATGGCAATAGCCGATAATTTTTCATGAACATATCTGCCAACATTGATACGTATACATTTATAAAATGTAGAAAATAATGTAAATCCACCTGGATTAGCATCACAGATAAATTTTATTTATTTCTATTAGAGATTCTGACTCACTTTGATATTTGAGCATCTGTAAGAGTTCATGAATGGAAAAAAAGAAAAAAGTGTAACACAAATACAAAACTTTCATTTTTTACATTTCTGATAAAACATAAAAATCGGTGTTTCACTGAAACTTTTGTCTGTGTATTTTTTCTGTTTTCCTGAATCGCGACAAATACCCAAATAGAGATTTTAGTATTCAAATACTGGCACCTCGAGTGGTTAACCAAGTACTTTAGTACCCATGTACTTCCTTAATTTCTGCAGGGTTACAAATATAGTAAAACAGACTTCTTAGCACAGTAACCCCGCATTGCCTAAACCAGGGGTGTCCAAACTTTTTTCAAAGAGAGCCGGATCATACCGCGTCAAAATACCTGAGAGCCAAAATATTCTTCACAAATTATTCAAAATGCTGAGTTATTAAAATATTAATGCACAGAATCAGAGCTTTCTGTGATCATCTGTGTTTCCTATCACTGTGTAAAAGATGCACAAGGCTCCTTTTATTGTTGAATTCTTCAGAGCAGTTTGGATCAACAAGCACTTATAACAAATTAAACTATTTAAGAGTAACATTAAAACATGACTAATGTATTTATTATTTTCACATTCAAGAATATGATGCAAAAATATCATTTGTGAGACAAACTAAGCAGATTTGTGAGATAAACATAACGACAGCATCAGAAATCACTCACGAGAAGAGCAGGTTAAACAGCACAAATAACCACGTTAAAGTGTTAATATTTACTGATCTGAATTAGCTCTGATGAGAAGTCAGTGCTGTGAGACTTGAGGAGCTGCAGCTGCTTTAGTTTCTCTCCTGAATATATCCTGAATATATTCATGCTGTGTTTTATGTCTGTTGATATTAAATTCATTACAGTCTTTTGAAATACGAGGCTCATTTGCTGCGTCTCTCTGAAAAAGTTCAAATATCCATCAAACTCAGTGTTAGTTTGAGCTTCATGGCTGCAGTCTGGACTAAATGTGGTCAGTAAATGAAGCTGCAGGTCAGTCAGAGAAGAAAGGCTCTTTAACTTTAGCTAACTTCGTTACCGCAGTGCAGCGTGTTACACTGTAATCTTACAGCACTGCAGCCGCCATCAGGTGAGAGGAAGAACTGCAGCGCGCTGGCTGGAGGGCCACTTATAACACACTCTAAAACAGAAGACACGAGCTGATCAAAATCTGTCTGAGGGCCGCGTTTGACCCTGGGGCTGGACTTTGGACACCCCTGGCCTAAATGATCTGCTCCTCCGTAGTAGTCGATTTGAAATATAGATCAAATCTGATCATCTGTACAACACAGATTATTTTCTAAAGCAATTATCTGAGAAGTGAAACAAAAGTAAGCAGAGCAGCTGGGCTAGTCTGCTTGTCTTTTCACCACACTAGGTCTCCCATTGTTTTTTGATGACGAATAAAGACTCCTGCCACCTCCTGTATGGAGACTTATTTCCTTGCTGGCACAGAATGTATGTGCGGGTTAGTTGTCAGCTTTGTGGTGTGCTTAAGCGCAACTTTCTCAAAGAAGACCTGAGGCGACAGAAGGCGATCACCAGTCTGCGTCGGTTGATGCTAGGGCTGAAAGATTGTTTTTATATCGAAATCGCAATTTAAGAGAGGGCAATTTTCAAATCGCAAGAGCTGCAATTTAAAAAAACCATTATAGCCAACATTATTAGTGGGAAAATTTAACCTAATAGTACAGAGCTTGTGAACTGCCTGTAGATAAATAAGATGCAACCAAACCTCCATGTGTTGTGACATCACAACCACAACTTACTGGCTCTCTGGCACACTACATTCACGGGTCAAGCCTCAAACCAGAAAAAGTGGATATTCTGGTCTTCTCAACAAAAAAAAAAAAAGCCCGAACCTGAATTTATAGAACATAACTGCAATTTAAATCGCGGTCGCAATATTAGTCAGAAAAATCGCAATTACATATTTTCCCCAAATCATTCTGCCCCAGTTAATGCTAGTTCTTCAAAATCAGCCTGGTATGGAATAGTTAGGAAGGAAATCTGCATTTTATTCCATCACTGATGGTAGCTGCGAAAACAAATGTGTCATGACGGCAGACACTGTCTGCTTAAGAGAAGCGAAAACGAAAAAAAAAGTCCAACTGTGATTCTCACTCCTTGAGTTCAGAGCTCAAAGCAGTGCTGTGAGCCAAGAGACGGCTGGCTGTGTAATAACAGTGATCCACCACATTACTCTTGTACCAGAATGAGCTGCATACGGCTCAGCACTTAGCTTTAGCGCCTGCGCTACTATTCTTCCCTACTTCAGGGGAAAACAGAACCTCTGTGTGCCTGCAGGACTGAGCTTTCAATGATTCACCATAATATGAAATTTCTCTTTGTGCGTATGAATCAGGCATTTGTCCACAGCACAGCGTCTGTCCAGCAAGCCCTCTGGTTCAGACGCAAATCTCCATTCCTCTCCTGCGTCTCTCTAGGCTGTGCGAGCGCTGAATGCAGGAGATTGCTCTCTGTACAAGGAGATAATGTGCACCTCTGTTCTTTTCAGCACTGTTCTCAATGCCTTAGATATGAATGGGCCCTCTCTCTCTCTATACCTCTCATAATGTCTCTCGCTCTGCACCTCCCTCTCTCTCTCTCTCCGATTCTCCCTTTCCTCTGCTTCTATTTTTGTATTATTCTGCCTGCCGCCGTCTCTGTCTGCCTCACCCTAGTCTCTCTCTGCTGCTTTCTCTTATTTCCCCTCCATTTCTCTCCCTCTCTCCCTCCCTCTGTGCTGTTAACTCTCACTCTCCCTGCTCCAGGGCAGTAACACTGGCTGATTCAGCTCCAACACTGCTCCCACTGTTTACCTTGGCCGCTGGTCGCTGTGGAGACCAGGCCTCAGCCCCTGCTGAGGGAAAGCCCGCTGCCGGAAAGAGGGGCAAAGAGCGTTACATATGAACTCAGCCAACCTGGATCCAAACCGTCTTCATTTCACCTGCCTTTTTATTTACAATGTATGTTTACAATGTATGTCCTCTCTTATCGGTCAGCTACTGTGATGCCCCCACCAGATACACAGAATCAAATCAATATGACCTGGACAACTGCTAAGGGGTGGTGGGTTTAGGCAATCGCTTTCCCGCTCCATCAGCGCGTGGTCTGGGCACGTTTACAGAAAAAAAGGAGCAGTAAATATGGACCGCAGATGGACTTCTCCTTATAGTGACAGATGTCTAAGCGATATCCAGGGCACCTTTTTCCAGTAATCCATTTCAACACGGCAGGTTGTGGTAACACCACACTACCTGCTGTTCCTGCTTGAACTAGGCAAAAAATATTCTTTCACGTCAGAAACTTGGTTAGAAGAATCTTTGTTGACATTATGGTTTGGTAGCTTTTGCTATATGTTTAATAAACTGTGTGTTTACAGGCTACAAAAAATTCTTTAAGTAACTGTAAATCGGCTAAATCTTAAAGTCAAGTATCCTAAAGGCTACCATATGCGCCTTACTGCATCTCCTCTTTATATTTTTTGCCCCGATGGTAGATATGGTACATTTTTACATATGTACTGGGAGTGTTTATATGTGCGCAAGTTTTGGACTAAGGTTTTTTACATTATCAGACATTCCCAATAAAACCGTTCCAAAAACAGCCCAAACATCTAAACCAGGGGTGTCACACTCAACCAGTACAAGGGCCAAATTAAACAATCTCAACAAATCTGTGGACCAGTTTTTATTTCATTTTTAATTAACATTTTGTTATAAACCGAACTGACCACTGTTTATTCAAAATACGCACAAACAGCAGTAAAATATAAGCGTGCAGTAGACCTTGAAATATTACATGAATACTTGAAATATTCAAAATTTAAAGTACCCAGGAGCTTTGTTTTTTTAAAACCTGCCTATCTGCTTGAACTAGACACCTGACATCCTTTCTTTTCTCCATTAAAACTTGGGCTCAGTTTCTGAGCTGCTGAGCTGACGTTGGGTGTTTATGTTGGTTTAACTGCAGCTGAAATGCTGCTGGTGTGTTTGGTGATATGACTGGTGTAGAATTGTGTAGAACTGAGGTGTAACCGCTGTCCCATAGGCTGTTGTTGGGGTAGGAGAGTTGGAGCGCACATTACAGCGCACGTTGCAGTGCATGCTGGGGACTGTAGTGCAGCACATTGTGAAACGGGCTAATATTAATAGAAAATGAAAATACTTTTGCGGGCCGGATAGGATTGTGTGGCGGGCCTGACGTGGCCCACGGGCCTTGTGTTTGACACGTGGGATGTAAATGATGACTCTGAATGTAACTTAAATTGTGCCGAAAAGTGAATCTGATTGGCTGGTTTCACTGCTGCCAAAAAAATGTTAGCTTTATGCTGGCAACCTCCACATTCTCTGTGCTAGCAGCGATGGATCCTCACCTTTGTGGATATTATTAATATGGAACTTTCAACTGCAAGGATCCATGAAAGGATACATGAAAGTGCAGCTAAGAGGATTGGTAACTTATTGTGAAACGCGTTTTACTTTTACCATTTTGTTGCTA